GTGAGCATGTGATTTTTGTTTACACAACAATTACTCCAAAAGAAATCAAAAATAAAACAAATGGTCTTGTCGTACAATTTTTGGAATTTGCGGGATCTTTGTGGTAGTTATTTGTAGTGTTGTTTGTGATTGTTTAGTATCATCGAACAAAATAAAAGAATATGTATGTCACATGTTGAGTTTAGGATGTCATTCTACTATTAGGAATTAATCAAACCATAATTCGGTTATTAAAAGGAAAATCACAAAATATGCATCTTTTATTCTACTTGTTGTCATTGAGTGATTTTATTTTAATTAAATGTTTAATGTGAGTGATAACTGTTTGTTTGAGTATTAATTAATATATGTATGGTTTTATTTTGATTTTTTACAAATTAGTTAGTAATTTTGTGTGATTTGGAAATCAAAAGAATAAAAGAATTGGGTTTTATAGGATAAATCGGGATTGGGCCAGTTTCAGACCCAAAAATCAGGCCCAAAACTCAACTAACCCAGTCCGGCCCCAGACGCAAAAGGAAACGACGCCGTTTTTGGCACCCTCCATCTGAACCGTTGGTCAAACAGATCCAACGGTCCTGGTCAGGCCTGTCATTAGTCCAAACGACGTCGTCTCTTTAAGTTGCCGCATCAAAGCCGTTGATCACCAATGATCCAACGGCCAGAAATCCAACCCTCGTCCCGTATATAAACCTTCCCCCTTCACCCCACGCCCTAAGCCAAACCCCCCTTGCCCTTAGATCGTCTCCCTCACTAGACCCAAACCCCACGAAACCCTAGCGCCGCCCCCTTTCCCCTCACCGTAAACCCGGCANTTCCGTTTGATCCATTGTTGTTTGTTTGTTTTGTTGTTCGTTTGTTGTTTAGAATGATTTTATTTCCAATTTCTTCGCTTTGTTCTTCTTTTTCTCTGAATCAGACCTTTTATTTGGTCGAATTATTTCTGTTCGTTGTTCAAGTATATAGTGGACTGTGTAATCGATTCGATAAGTTTCGTCGATTAATTAAGTTTCCTTTTAACCCCTGAAATCACATGTTTGCCTGTTTGGTTCTGATTGTTTGTTGTCAGTCGTATGTTATATATACTACGTAGCCGATTAATTAAGTTTCGTCGATTAATTGTTTGTAGTTTATTTGTGCCCTTCAAACTGTTTGGGTGCCAGTTTTGTTGACATTCCCTGATTCTGAGCTTCCTGTTAGCTTGATTCTGCTGAATATATGTGCATATGAATTCATACTGAACCAAAGCTGAATTTGGATTGATATTGAATTGACCATGTTTGTGCACATAAGATGAGAATTACCAGCCTGTTTATTCACTTTAGATTTAGGAAATGAGAAAGTATGGCAATTGGTAATTCTTTAATGAATTAGGGGTAATTGGACAGCATGTGCTGTCAGGATATATTCCTGCTGCCCATGTTTGCTTAGTTTAATAAAATGATAAACCATTTTAATAATGAAAAGAGGTTTTTGTCAGGGGAATCTCATGGGAAGGGCTTTATTTTAATCTGTTGAGTTGGAAAGAACAGGAGGAGAACATGGGAGGGGGTTCAGTTTGTTAAACAGGCTGTTTGAATGGGCTGATAGAAGCTATAAAAACAGAAGGGTTTCCATTAGTTCAAAAGAAGGTTTTTCAGCCATTAAAAACAGCCCCTAAAAAACTTATCTTTGGAGGAATTGCTTAGCAGCATAAAATCACAGAGAGAACAGAAGGGACGTGGCATTTTTTGAGGGTTATCTTTTGTTCTGAAAATAGCTGACAAAAAGGGGTAGATAAAACATCATTCCATTGAGCTTTGGTTCAGTTCAAAGCTCCAGCAGTTGATATTGATCTTCTGGTCTGACTCCAACTTGTTGGAACTTCCTATGCAATCTACTGGTCCAACTTTGGTTTGAGTTCAAGTCCATTTTGAGTCTTTTGCACGTTGTTTGTTGCTGTTTGGGTTTCACAAATTATTTCGGGCTTCGTTTGAGTGTGTTCCTGGTGCATCTGGTTGCTGAAACTGCTGTGTTGCTGGTGCTGTTTGTTATTTATCACTGCTGCTGCACTGATCACTCCTCTTTTCCTTCTTGTTGTCCAATTTCCAGGTACACATTTTGAATTTCACACTGATGTAACATTAAAAGCATGAAATGAAAGATGCGAAGGAGTTTTAATCATTGGCTGCTGCACTTACAGTTTTATAAATGTTGTTAGATTTGTGTAATTCTTAGTTTGTAGCATGATAGCAAAAATACATTAGTTAGCTTGTGCTTAAATTGAAACTTAGTTTGTTTTAAGTACTATGATTTACAGTTGTTTGGTTGTACAAATGATATAATTATGCAATTGATGGAATGCACGAGTAATTAAGCGTATTCGATAACTAGACTTCATTTAGTTATATTTTGTACGTATAGGGTAGACTGCTACTAATCTCACCAAACGCAATATAGCTTTTAACCATCTGAGTTAACTCTGTCCAAATTGGATTCCATTAGGCAGTTTATTAGGACAAAGGTCGAATCCCATTGGTAGCATCATCTAGTAGATAATTCCATTAATCTAGTTTAAATATGTAGTTTAAATTCAAACTTGAAGAATGTTTAGCACGAGTTTTAACATTTTATTTTGTATGCGATTTTCTTTATTAAATCAAAAGCATGTTCATGAGATAAGGCATGAGATAATTCCCGTAAATAATTAATCTGATAATTAATAAGGGACCAGAGTTGGCCAAGCATGTAATTTCTTTTCTTCCATTTTTAGAGACAAACATAATAGAAAAAATGTAGTCATTGTAGGTTTATCCTTTCAAAAGTGAGACGAGCCTCGCCAAATAACATGCACAAACTGCGGGGCCTTCATAAATGTACATATTAAAAAAATACTTAGAATTTGGGATGGGCCGTTCAAGTGAATTTCACGGTCTTCCCCAAAGATAATAACGCGTTAGACTCTTTAGGCGCGACTTAATTAAATTACATTCCTATTCGGGTGCGCATTTATGTGACCCAAATCCAAATCTCAACGGAGTTGGAATGTATTAACAACCACGGGTGCATTGATTGCGACGTGGTTCGAGATGCATTTTCACGATGCTACAATTCTTCTAAAAATATAAATGATAATAATAAAGAGGTTTAAACTTAATAAAAGCACATAAGTTATAACATGTATTTAAATCAGATATTTAGCCATTGTAACAATTTAAGCGACCGTGCTAGAACCACGGGATTCGAGGGTGCCTAACACCTTCCCTCGAGTCAACAGAATTCCTTACTTAGAATTTCTGGTTCGCAGACTTCATTTGAAAAGTCGAAAATTTCCTCGATTTGGGATTCAAGATAAACCGGTGACTTGGGACACCAAAAGCCAAACCTTTCCCAAGTGGCGACTCTGAATTAAATAAATAATCTCATTTCGAATATTGTCACTTAAATTAGAAAAACTCTCTCGCGCATTTAACCCTTCGGGGCTGGGCGCGCAAAAAGGAGGTGTGACAAACACATAACTCAAACAACACTTCATTACTACAACACTTAGATTCATACAAACATCTCATGACTAAAAGCAGAGGATGGTGAATCACAGAACTTATGTTCCAACAGAGGAAGTTCATTTCTCTATGAAGTGACATCATTACTCTACACAGTATACACTAAGAATTTTTATACAGCTACAATATCGTACAACTTAAACACAATTTTTATACAAATTTTATACAATATGTCTTTTGTATATTTTGTATCTGATTTATACATAGTAAAAACAAATTTCATACAACTAATTATATATTATACAACTTATCTACAACTTTCACACATTATTTCTACCCAGTTAAATATAACTACAATAACATACAACTTAAATACAAATTTTATACAAAATTTATATAATATATCTTTTGTATATTTTGTATCTGATTTATACATAGTAAAAACAAATTTCATACAACTAATTATATATTATACAACTTATCTACAATTTTTATACATTATTTCTACTCAGTTATATACAACTACAATATGATACAACTTAAATATAATTTTTATACAATGTTGTTCAACTTTCATACAATAGTTAAATGAATTAAAAAAAATTATATAAACAACATAATACAATTTTTCTATAATTTTACTACAATTTCTGCAGTATAATGTATGTCATGTCTTCTTCTTCTTCTTCTTCTTCTTCTTCTTCTTCTTCTTCTTCTTCTTCGAGTTTCAATCCGAAATTCAGTCAAAACCAAGTCTAATCTTCACCAAAAAGCCCCTCAAAATTGAGATATAAACTCCAAACTATATTCTCAATTATTTGCAACAACATCCAATCCAAACAAATAATAATTTTTGAAAACTCAAATTCGAATTCAAAACTTTTTAATGGCTGTCAATGGTGGAATTACTGCTCTCTTTTTCTTTGCTTTACATTACTGAAATTTGGGATTGAGAGATAGAGAGAGACGTAAAGAGAATTCTCAATTCTTTGCAACAACATCCAATAATATTTTTTGAAAACCCAAATTTGAATTCAAAGCTTCAAAGCTTTTTAATGGTTGTCAATGGTGGAATTGCTACTCTCTTGTGCAAGATACGTGGGAGAGGGGCGTGGGATGTGGAGAGAGAAACGTGGGGAGTGGAAGATATGTTAAAGTAATTTTAGGACAATAATTATTACTATTAATTCCTTTAAAATGTACATAAATGGTAATTGGATATATAAAATGTAATTATAGTAAAACTTGAGTATGAGGGTTATATAGTTTCATATAGTGTATAGGAATGTAAAAATTCCGTAAAAAAATGAGTGTCAGCAAAGATAAAGTAGCTTTAAGTATTTATCGTTGTCTAATTTTTCTTTTATTAATGGTCATAGTTATGGTGACTAACGAATGGGTTCATGTGATGAACTTTTAATTAAAGACGAAGTCAAGTCTACTTTTTAAAACTAGACGTTCTCTACTCAGCCGAACATTTGTACTAGGGCGCGTTTGGTCTTAGACAAAAGGCTGAGAAAGGTGTCCGAACATCTGTACTATTAACAACAACAAGCCCAGTAATTTCCAGCAAGTTTGGTCTGGGGAGGATAAGATGTACGCAGCATTACCCCTACCCCAAGGGCGAAGGCACACTTGGGTTAGGGTGATCAATTGACAGCCCTTTGTCGGAAAGCTACACTGTTTAGATAGGTAAAATATTACTATATTTTAGAGGTACATAACATGTATTGAACACCCTTTATCGAATTTTTTTTTACTTATTTCAAGTTTGAACACCCTTGAGAAAATTTCTGGCTTCGCCACTGCCCTATCCTGGAAGGCGGAGAGGTTGTTTCCAATAGACCCTGAGAACTGATGAAAAAGGAAAGTTAATTGCAACAACATCTGTACTAGTAATAATTCAATATTCCACTAACACAGAGAATAAGCAAAGAAACCTAAAGCTTAGACCAAATATACAACTATACAGTCATATTTGCTACTAATTGGGAAGAGGCACCTAACAGAATTACTGAAGCTCGCAGTAAATCTCAAGCAAATTGAAATGTGGTACAAATTTGCATACTCAGAATAAGCAGACCTGAATTCCAAGAAATCCAGTCTTCAGAAATGTTGCCTCTCACGGCCAGTCTCACTTGTATTTGAAAATCCAATACCATTCGCTTCAGTTCTAGCCACTTCAAAAATGAAAACCAATGCAGTTTAGACACAAGCCAGAGGAACCGTTGAGCTTCCTGTTTCGAGTTCCTGAAAATTCAGAAAACATGTATAATGTCAGCAGAATGAATTTTGAGTTCCTGAAAAATCAGAAAACACATATAGTGTCATCAGAATGAAAAACTCCTTTGTTGTAAAGGTACTTATTAAGATGTATGCATTGACTACCTCTAACCTTCTAGATCTCATATCAAGATAACTTTGAGTTTTTCAATGCATCATTATGCACCAAAACATATAGTTTCTGCGGCTTCATATCTGCATCATATCATGCACAAAATTTCCAGCTATATCTTTCAAACTATATTTTTATGCCGTTCAGAGCATCTTTATGGGAGTACTATACTTAAAAACCTCCCATACAATGGTGGTTATTGCCTTAATTCAATCAAATGAGTCATAAGATGTGCAAATCTAGTATAACAAGATTTCATTAGTCAATGGATCAAAGCCAACAAGTTTCATGCACAAAATCAAATCGGAAACATTCAATAAAAAAAACTAAAACTACAAGTTGAAAATCACTAACTGCTGCGTGAACGGAAGGTTTCTCTGAGGAAAGCTGTACCTCACGCATTTGAGAAACTTCTGGATTATTACGGACTGGAAGTCTTAAATTGCGCTGATCCTGTTGCTGCAGATCTAACTTTTCCATTTTCTTTTCATAAAGTGCAAATTCCTCAGGCTTCTCCCACTGTTTGCATGTTTTCAGGCATCCATGCATTATGAGGGGCATGGGATCCAGTGTTAAAAAAGAAATTGGACACTTAATGAAACTTACCCAGCTTTCACACGTCATGCAGTTATAATAATATACGAATCCATCAGGACAGATATGTTCGCTCCATTCACAATCTATAGACTCCACCATCTCACCATTTAAAGATCTTGCATTGACAGAAGATGCAGCTGATGGCAAAACAATATCTGATCCGACATAAGTGCTGAAAACTGTCTGAGGATTGCTTCTGTTATTTGGAGTCTGCAAAAAGCAACAGATACTTGAAACATACTTTTTTCTAATTATCTTTCGTAGGTAATTATGTACTGGGGATTGCATTTTCTTTAAATAAAGAAGTTACATTTTTCAAATAGGCAAGACCATTTGCATTGTGATAAAAAGATCGAGCTCCTTTGTCAAAAAGGAAGAAAGATTAAGCTCTCATAGCACAAAATTAGATGCACTCTTGAAAAAACATACAGCTCTTAATAGAAAAGTTAGGCTATTCTAATAGTAAAACTCGCATTACGACATGCTTCCATCTACTTAATGGAGAATATTGAACAATAACCTTATTTGGACTCTGGTGATTAGACTGGTTAGCTGCTATATTCCCATTAAATTGCTCATTCATATGGGATGGCGCCCTGCAAGTTATAAGTTTCAGATAAGGAAACCAGCAAGTAAAAATACAAGAGGCAAGATAAACTAAAAGCTAGTCTAATGCATTGGACCAGAGCAGGACTTGAATAAGAATGCACCGGGAAAGAACTGAAGGAATGAAGAGAATGTGGTATAGGAACAAGCATCTATAGCAACTTGTTACAGAAGATACTAGATGCCGGGCATGATGACTCTGGGAGGTAGATGCATTGTTTTAAAAGGAGGAAGTGTGAGACTAGGCACTTTATCTCAGATGGAGTGAGATGAGTCCTGAGGCACAGGCCATGAATATTTACTTTTTTACATTTTTATATAAAAATAAAATAAACATAAACATATGGAAAAACTATTCCTATATAAATTACACAAACAATTGTATGAAATTCATAAAATTCCAATAAGGAAATAGGAAATGAAATTCTTTTTTTCTATAGAGTCAATGTCCGGACCAGCTTGCACGCACCTCCACTAATCTCACTGGGTACCTATACCTCCCACCAGCACAGGTACCGAGTAACTCTGTCCACCAATGCTTAAACACTAATGTATGAAATTCATCAAAAATCCAATAAAGAAATAGGAAATTAATAAGTATATAAGCAATTAAGCACACAACAATAACAAAAATATAATAGTAACAGAGATATAAATTAACAGTGTTCTAAGTGGCATCTAACTAACAACTCAAACAAGAAAGCCAAAAAAAACGGAAAAGGGTTAAAAATACACCTAAACTATTGGAAAACGTTAAAAAATACCCTTCATCCACCTATTGGATTAAAAATACTCCACCATTCACCTTTTTGGTTCACTTATGCCCTTTGACCGTTAGGTCAATGCTGAATTAAAAATATTTATTATTTAAATTCCACGTGGCAACTTCTTATTGGCCAAAATTAAAACATTTAACTCATTAGAAAGACCCGCCCATATCTACCAGCTTTTCATATTAACCCGCTTCAAACACTAACCCGACCCGAACAAAAAGTTCAACTATAAAAAAGAGGCCCTACTTCTATCAAACTCCATGGAACAAAAGCTCCGTGGAAGTTGCAGAGGACATATAGACGCAAATTTACTACGTGGTTTTCTTTTTCTTGTTATGGCATCCAATTCAATTTACATGATAGACACAAATTGCATTATATTCAAGATGAGTAATTTAGTCATTTTCACATAACGGAAAGATCTCAAAGAGATTGTTTGGAAGATATCATAAACCGTTGGATTACCCCTAGTTTCTGTCCCACATTATTGTCGAGAAAATCATTGGCTCATTCATGCTAGGCTTTTCTTGTTTGTTTAATTTGTTCAAAACCTTTATTCGATGATAATGCTATACATGAAATTAATCAAGAAATGAACATATGTAAATCTGTGGGTTAAATGGAAGTGGGGCGTCTTTTTTTATTTGAACTTTTTATTCGGGTCAGGTTAGTATTTGGGGCGGGTTAGAAAAATGGGTAGATATCGGTGGGTCTTTCTAATAGGTTAGATGTTTTAATTTCGATCAATAAGAAGCTTCCACGAAAAATTTAAATAGTTATTTTTTTAAATCAGCATTGACTTAACGGTTAAAGGGCATAAGTGAACCAAAAATGTAGATGGAGGGTATTGTTAACCCATTAGGTGGATGGAGGGTATTTTTAGACCTTTTTCAATAGTTCGGGGGCATTTTTGACCCATCTCCGGAAAAAAAAAACACCTTTGCAAGAAAAAAAGTCAAAAAATCAAAGTGGTTTTGTATGTATATGCATACACACACATATAGGGTCTTGCTAACATACTACATGAAGGTAGTATGTTAGCACCCTACCCATTTTTATGTTCTCAAAAATAACCTTAGAGATATATTATCCACATATTAGTAAAATGGGTATTTACATCTTTCCCTTTGAACAACTAACCACGACTCATTTTTTGGCCTCCAACGAAAAAGGTCAATGAACAACTAATATCTCAGAAATCATGAAGCTTACTGTTTGTTTGCTGATAACATGTCATAAAAACAAGAAATAAATAAAATAAACAAAAGCAAACCTTGCAAGAAAACCATGTTCTTTAGTGCTTTGAATTTTGTCCCAACTTCAGAAGAAGGAGCAGAAAAAGAAAGCCAGAAAGTTAAATAAAGGGAACAGTGGAGATTTGGGTTCGATAATACAGGAACACAACCCAAATAGAAAGCATGACGGTTAGACAATCTTGTAAGAGAAGAAAGATTTAGTAAAGCAAAAAGATAAAAGAGCCTGCCAATCTCTAGCCTCAACAATTTCTTCCCTATTGTGCTGCTGCCGCCGAAGTATTTTTTGCCTATTTGGGGCCCAACGAAGAGAGAATTGGACAAAGATAATAGGGAATTGCCAATTTTTGCCCCCAATTTACTAAAAGCTACGGACGTGTGGTCTTGAGACGCCTTTTTTGCCCTGGACCTACGCCTCATCTTTGGGGTGTGCACCCACTGATATCTTCACCCCCCAGAATCGCCCCAGTGCGTTTTCACACACCCTGCCTTAGGCGTGTCCCGGGACTAGCCCAAAGAATGCTTTCTGAAACACTGCTTAGAAGTGCTTAACTTTCTCGATCAAGAGAATCTGAGATATCACACTCGGGAGAGAAGAATATCAGCTCCATTCTAGTTTCTTCAATTTGTGTTCAACTTTTTCATCCAAAATAACTATTTGTTTATTCGGAAAGAGTATTTGACTCATCCAACAAGAAGTGGTACTCCAAAACTAGCAATGGTTGATCCATACAAAGATAAAGGGAAGAGTAAAATTTCATGGATGGATACACACCTCGACTCGCCCACCTTGGGCTTCTTAGGATCCGCAAATCGAACAATCAACGGCTGATGACAGACCTGAACCACAAGGGAATGGGAGAAAGGATATTTGGTTTCAGACCTGAACCACAAGAGAATGGGAGAAAGGAGATTGGTTTCAGATTAGACCATAAATATATATTAATACAGGGGCTTACTTTCGTCGTTACATAGGTACCATGTAGTGCATTCATTGCCGCAACCGCCATGTCTTTACAAGCAAAACTGACAAAAGCACTTCCTTCAAGGCAGGAATAATATCAACGCCAAGCAAAAAAAGTTAAAAAACAGAGTGTGTATAGACAAACCAGATGTAGGTCAGCACATATCAATTTTACGTACGGGTAGCAGAACAATAAGCATGAGCACCAAATATGGCAAATGCAATTACACTATTCAAAAAATGTCAAGAAGCAGTGCACTTGATTGGTAAAATTGGGTGGCAAACTTAGCGCATGAAAATATGACCCACGCAAGTCTGGGCAGGATGGGCTGGGCATATTTTCATTGCGGGCCAATTTGAGCACAACCCAAGTCGGCTCATAAGTTTGGCTGATTTGGGCTAAAGCCTAAATATGTAGCCTAAATAGACCTATAAGAGAACTTGTCAAAATATTTTAGAAACTTTTGTTTGATATAGCCATAATAATAAATTTGAAACTAATGCCGAGGGTCTATCGGAAACAGCATCTCTTCCCTATCGGGGTAGGGGTAAGGTCTGCGTACACATTACCCTCCCCAGACCCCACTTTGTGGGATTTTACTGGGTAGTTGTTGTTGTTGAAACTAGCATAAAATATAGCCATAATAATAACAATAACAATAATAAATTTTTATTTGGTAACACAACAAATTATAAGAAAATAAACAAAGTAACTAAAACTTTGTTAGAGTTGGGTGGGTTGGGCTATAACCTATTGTTTAGCCACATCTTGACCTAACTCATCTCAGCCCAAGTAACATTTAAGCGGGCTAATGACCCATCCATTATTTTGATTTAACCCATTTTGACCTGCCTAAATTCAACCAACTCGTCCACTTAACACCCTAGATAAAATTGAGAATATGCAACCAGCTGAATTGTTGGCAGCAACTAGAGAAGAAGCTATAGCAACAGGGATATATGTCTTAAACTAGGTTCAGTGAGAAAGCATCTTTGCAAACTGTTACCAAATGCAAACGCTCCTGCATGCTAAATGTAAAAATAATAATGAGAGAGAACAGAGAGAGAACGAGAAAGAAGAGAGTTGCTGTTACATACCACGGCGTTGTTTTTGTTCATCAAGCAAGAAAAAGACTTCTTCAACAACTCCATATGGAGAAAATACCTGCCACCAAAGGCGTGCATCCAAACTCAGAACTTTTCCATTGGCTCAAAAGAGAAACAAATTGTCCCTCGGTCTCTTATCTGTTACTTAATTTGACCGTGTATATAGATTGAGAATTTATTTGGATTTCATATAATATAGAGATAAAGAAATAATCATTAACTAATGGTACATGATATCATGATATGAATTCGTCTTTCAAACATGGGAACTGAATAAAGCTTGTTATTTGACATAGTTCATGAAGCGTTACTACATCCTAGATCGAAAAATGTGTCCGGTAAACTGGAATGGAGCAAGGATTAATCTTTATCACTTATATCCATTAAATGAAAATTATAATTGATAAACCTATAACCATGACATCACTGCAGAATTATTTGCTACATATTTCTTTTTATCCAATAGCACTAAGAACAAAAAACCTAGAATTTGTGCCCAGTACGTAAAATATATAGCATGAAAATAGTAGAATGTCAACATGCAGATTCTTTGCATATGTATACAGAATGCACAAATTAGAGAAAGAGTAACAGTGAAAAAGGAAGGAGCAAAAAGGGAAGATAGAATCTGCATGTCTTGGCTTAAAACACATATATGTGGAGCATACATGCTCAACTTCTCTTTTGGAAACTTGTTTCCTCAGACCACCAACATAAAGTTTGTGATTTTGTTCACCCAAGCTTCCTACAATGAGAGAGAAAAGAGGTAAAAGCGGATAGAAATAACAACATAAGGCAAATAAACACCTAGAATTCTAGAGAGGCAAAGTGATAACTGAAAATTCAGACTGTATACACTTGATAAAATACTCCATGTCAATTCATCAAAAATACTATTTTGATATACTCATTCCCTGGATTCTGTTCAGAATTCAAACCCTTACAAAATGCAGTCTCCCCATCAGTACCAACAGATCTATGAACAGATGGAGCGACTTGCAAATAATCATTCGTTTCATCTATCAAACGTAACAAATTATCGAAACACTTACCTCTTTGTCATGTAATACTTAAATGTTTCTCTGTGACCAGAAAGATGTAGTTCTTGAATTCCATTTTCATTACCTTAGATTTCAAAAGTTTAGGTAGCTGGTCAAAATACCCTAGGCCCCTTAGCCTTGTGAGTATTATTCTTAAAATTGTTTACTATAGCCTTATCCTGACTAATGTGTTTTCCTGGAAAATGCAACTTCAATCGCACATGGATCTTTACAGAGAAGCTTGTCAACTTTTACATACTGCCTTGGTGGGCAGTGAGTGGTGGACAACATAGATAGTAGAAGGGAGCGAATTTGCTTTAGTATTATTCCTTGTGAGTATTATTCTTAAAATTGTTTACTATAGCCTTATCCTGACTAATGTGTTTTCCTGGAAAATGCAACTTCAATCGCACATGGATCTTTACAGAGAAGCTTGTCAACTTTTACATACTGCCTTGGTGGGCAGTGAGTGGTGGACAACATAGATAGTAGAAGGGAGCGAATTTGCTTTAGTTAAGCTTATGATAACTCAAGTTGGCTATTTAAGGCTAAGGACTTCGCAAGGGTGGGAGCTTTATTCATGATCCTTACGTTCGGTATTAGACCTATGTTATCTAAAATTTGAACAGTAAGACAACAAAACAATTACCAAGACGTTCTCGTTCCCCATCAGCATACCTAATTATTAAGGGAACCTCACCCTGCAAGCAAGAAATATATACAAACCGAGTAAGAGGGGATCAATATTTTCTTGAGAGGGTAAATGATTTTAACTTCACAACTGAGAAGGAAACTCACCCCAGGGAAAGTATATCGACCATGGAATGCTCCAATCGCCCTATCAGCTTCATCTAGCGTGCTATACTTCACAAAACAGCATTCTGCAGTGTAAATACATTATTCATTTTTATTCTGTTTAGGGAAAAATATTCACTTTTATCTGACGTCTATACTTGTCAAAAAGTAATATGATGACACATGTGCCGAGAATATAGTGAATGTCAACAGCAGAAAATAGCAAGGAGGAGGAATAAGATTAAATCCTAGTATTTTAAATGATCCAGAGTAATTTAAATTCTTTGAATTGCTTTACGAATACATAACCCAGTGCAGATGGCATGACATTTGATAAAGCAACACCATCACTGTAAACTATAACAAGTACACTACCAGATGACCTGGCAACGGCAACTATTACCACATTCCTCTACCTTTCCTCAAACCAGTGGATTTATCCTTGAGCCGAACAACCTCAATAATATTCCCATGTTCAGCAAAAACAGAACGAACCTGAATTGAAAGATGCATGTGTTAATATGTAAGAATACTTTCGAAATGCCCAGATGATGAACATAGCTAAACATGGAATCTGCAAGGACTTGAGTGATGAAATTTCAAATAGTTAAACATCCCAGAAAATTGGGAAGTTACTGGATCATTGGACAGGGAAAAGACCCTCACTGAAGTTGGACAAAAGCAAGTGGTTAACCCATTCTTCCAACAGGGATGAGACTATCTGTTGGTTTTCTGCATGTAATTTGGGACTGAGGTGTAGTTGATTGATCTTAATTGAACACCATGGATACCATATGGTCCATAACATATCCATTTAATTCAAGACAAATGAAGTATCTATGTAAAATATAGGACACCTAGAAATTCCAAAGATAGAGGAGTATACTCTACTTCACACAAGTTGCTTTGTGATATTGCAACTTATTCACAATTTAATAAATTTTGAGGCAAAAAAGAAAATAGCTAATTGATATCCAGAACAAATATTAAAAAAAGGGACCTTTGACAAAGGGAAGACAGCATGAACTTAATTCAAAGTAGTAGCCTAGTCTTAGTAGATGCAATGACCACAGTATATTGCTAAAATTACTGGAATATACATCACCTATGTACTCTGCCGGTTGGTTGTTAGATCGAAAACCATGAGTCGCTTTTCATATGTAACTACTCACCAATAATATTTTCACCAGACATAGATGCAAATGGAGGCAAAGTATTAATATAGGTGATACCAACTAGATTGATTAAGTGGTATAATTTTTCTTCAGTAACAAAACTTTCATTAAAAAACACCAAGTTACTGTTAAAAAAGTATGGGCAAGGTGTGTATATGCCTCAGGTAGAGCCGTAGAGTCATCCATTGTCTCAATAAATACAACATTAGTAAACTTACATTAAGTATGATATTCTCCTGGCGTTTTTTGCATTTGGTCAGAGATTTGCATGTCATTGTAGGTTACCTCTGAGATTTCTAGAATCTCTAGATTTATAAGACATTTAAGAAGGTCTCAAAAAATCAATTATTAGAACTGGAACAAGTGCCTAGCTAATTGAAGCAGAATGGATGTAGAGGCTTTATTTTTGGATGAAGATGGATATAGATATAGAAGCTTTATATGGCTAACCTCAACTACTTTGGGTTGAGGCTAATAGTAGTAGTTCTTGTTGGTTATTATAACTAAGCTCTTAAAAGCCTCAAGTCCCACTCTTAAGCATAACTCATAGTGTGCAGAAGTCCACTTTGTCGGTAAACTAAGCGCCAACAGAACACCAGGTTTTTATGGCTCAGTGGTCAATAAAGAGGGAGAAAAACTATGAGATCTCTGGTTCAAATCTCAGAGGAGGCAAAACACTAGGAGATTTGTTCCCATCTGCCTAAGCTTTGGTGGGCAAAATTTAGCGGTATCTGTGCTAGTGGGAGGTAATTCAGTGGAACACTCTAAGTGTGCGCAAGCTGACCCGAACACCACCGTCATAAAAAACAATACACAACATACAAGGAAAAAAGATATCATTATTCAAAATTCTTAACGACAGAGACTTACGTCTTCTTCTTCGGCTGGTCTTGGTACTCCTACAACATAGAGTTTCACAGATCCAAAGCGAACCTGAGAGTCTAAAAGGTTTTCCAAAATTCAGAAAGTCATGCTTATGATATACTGCTACAGCTTACAAACACTCAGTAAAATACAACATGCTCAACATTTGGCTCTTTCGCTTCCAGGGATTCAACTAACTGAACTTACCAACATTTTGGAATGTATCTTTCCACCAATTTTACAAGGAGAATTTTGACATACAATACTCTTTTCTAAAGTTTCAAAAATATCCAAATTCTAATTGAGTTTAAGTTCTATGCACTGACAGTATAAAGATTTTCTATGCAATCAGGTCACTTATTGCAGGTAACTCCATTTAATAAGCATTAGTTGATAACCTATACTAAATCAGCATAACCTACTATAACAGGTTAAATTGCATGGATGGTATAAAAAAATCTTTACACCTCAATGTATATAACTTTTACCAACATTTTAAAATGCATCTTTCTACCAGTTAACTTAGAATACACTTTTCTACAGATTCCAAAAAAAAAATTAATTGAGTTTAAAGTTCAATGAACTGACAGTGTAAAGATTTTGTACACAACCATGTCGCTTAAAAGGTAATTGCAGGCAACTCCATTTAATAAGCATTAATCGGTAAATTATAGTAAATGGTACGTAACCTAATATATCAGGTTAAATCTCACTATCAGTATATATAAACTCAAACTCATTTTATTTTTTTTTAAAAATGAAATAATCAAGTCTCTAAAAAGTTAGTCAAATTTATTCTTGATAAACAAAAGTGCCAGACAAATTAGAACCAGGTGATTTCTTTTTCGGAATTGTTAATTAGGAGCGGGAGAATAATGCTTCGTACCAGATGTTGATTGATCGTAAGGTCTCTTACGAGCTGAAAGAAGCGGAGAACCACCGAAATTTTGCTCGGAATTAGGGTTTTGGTGGTGGTGGTGATGGTGATGTTGGCGGCGATTGTAGTGGTTGCCATCGCCGGGAAAGTTTCTTCTATGATTGTCGTCGTTAAGAGAGACAGTCTCGTCGGAAGGCCAATTCGGCGACGCAGAATGAGGGTTCCGGTGGTATTCCGGCTGGTTCCCACGGCGTTCTCCGTTACTCTGGTCCATTGTGCATCACGCGGTAAATTGATATTTGCAGTATTAATATGGCTTTAGTATTTATATTTACTCCATTGTTAAAATATTCTCTTTTGTTGACACTCCTTTCTTTTTGGCACATTAAAATGTTAATTTTAAGTCTTAAAAATATTTAAGTAAATTTTTAAAAATTCAAAGTATTAAAATATTTAGCTTTTAAACTTAATTGTGATGTTTTTCCTATCAAATTAGTTTTTAAATATAATAAATATAACAACAACAAAAACAATAACACGCCCAGTAATTTTTCACAAGTGGGGTCTGGGAGGTAAGACGTACACTTAGGCCCAATATGATCAAATATCATTGTATAAAAGAAAATGGACGAAGCACATACGACTTTAAAATGTATGTTTATAAGGACATGTAGCACAATCTCTCTGTCCTTCCAGAGGTAGGGATAAGATTACATATATCGTACCCTCTCCCGACCCACTTATGAGAAACTACTGGATTTGTCGCTGTTGTTATATAAGGACAAATAGTATGTAAGATGGCAATTTTTTTTCCGCTAAGATTAAAGGTTTCAACACCGTTAATATGGAACATAATATATGGAAAGTTTCAAATATTTGAAGTGATTTTCTTTATTCGAATTGTCTAATTTTTGTGAGCTGCTATTATATGCAATTTAGTCGGAGAGATAGGAAATTTATTTTACTTGTTTATTTGACCTGAGAGAACCGATCCGTAAAAGGAAAGTTGGGTTTCCGAAACTAAAACCAAAACCAACTAGGATATCCTCAAATAAGAAAGTCCAATCCCAATCCCACTCTATTCAGGTCATTTTAAGCTCTTATATATAGAGTTTGAAATTCTCTGTATTTTTCAGGTCATTTTAAGCTCTTATATATAGAGCTTGAAATTCCCTGTATTTAACAATATTACATTATAATTCATTCTTTTATCATTCATTCTGTCTACGTCACACTTCTTGGAGTGCGATACTTTCCTGAACCCTACTTGAACGTGAAATACCTTGTGCACTGTGCTACGAGTCGCCAGATGGCTGATTACATTGTGCCTTTCTACGAGTCCCAAATCGAAGTTACTGCCACCAAAAAAGCAACAATTGTTGATCATTGGATTCTACAAACTGTGCACACACGTCGTCGTAGACTCCACAAGCTCCTTATCAGTCTGAATATCAAATGGCTCCCGTGTTCTAAACCCGAGGACGAGGACGAGGACGAGCACTCAGTTGCTCTTCTTCAGCTCTCCATTGGCGATCGTTGCCTAATATTTCAACTCCTTCATAGAGATTTCATTCCCCAGAGCCTCGTAGACTTTCTCATTGATCCTAATAACACGTTTGTTGGTATTGGAGTTGAGGGAGATGTTGAGAAGTTGTTATGCGATCACGGGCTGTACGTGGCGAATACTGTTGATTTGAACAAACTGGCATTGTTGACGTATGGAGAAGAAATCTATGGAAAAATGGATTTGAAGCGAATGGCGAAAGCAGTACTTGGGAAAGTTATGGAGAAGCAATTGAATAATACTTTGAGTAAGTGGGATGATGAGAATTTGAGCTATGAACAAGTTGAATATTGTGCTATTGATGCTTTTACGTCGTTTGAGATAGGAAAAAAATTGTTTAATATAATGTCGGATAGAGATAGCCGTCGTGTTAAGTTTCAGTCATGGCTGCTGCTAAAAGAGACATTGAGGAGGTTCTAAAATCTTGCTTTTGTTTTGAATATGAAATAATATCAGAAACTGACAAAGGGGGTCAAGGACTAATAAGAAAAGTTTATTAGAAAAGATAATAGTAGAAGTTTGGAACTTTTTTTTTTTTTGGTTTCCCATCCGTACCCGCATTAGAGTCCGACTATATCCGGAATCGCACCGCGTAGGGCCCTAGTCGGGGGAAAGCGTCCTTACCAAGGATTTTTCTATACCCAGGGCTCGAACCCAAGACCTTTGGTTAAGGGAGGAGCAGTCTCATCCACTGCACCACATCCTTTGGTGGTAACTTTTTTTCTTTTTGTAATAGCAGTTTCTATATGTAACTTTCTCTAGTTTCTTGAAAATTTATACTATATTCATATTATTTTTGTTGCCTAAAAAAATTGGGTAGTCTAGTGCATTAGGTATTTCACGTTCACATAAGGTCCGGAAAAGGGCTGCACTCAAGAAGTATGATGTAGACAATCTACCCTAATATAAACATTAGTGGCTACTTTCACGGCTAGAACTTTTTTTTCTTTTTGTAATAGCAGTTTCTATATGTAACTTTTTCCAGTTTCTTTGAGAATTTATACTACATTCATATTACTTTTGTTGCCTAAAACAAAATTGGAAATAGTAATAGCCTTTTGTTAGAGCACAGTCAAACTAGTTTAGTTTTGGTTTTATGCCTTAGTGAAACTGAAAAACCAAAATAAGAGCACCACAACAAAAACAAATCTTAGTGTAATCCCACGTATGAAATCTGGGGAGGATAGTATGTACATTGACCTTACTCTTTCCTTGTGGAGATAGAGAGATTATTTCTCATAGATCTTCGGCTCAAGGAACGGTGAAAATAAAGTAATAAACAGTAGCAACAACCAAAATATACAAGAGCACGCCTACAAAAATTAGACAACTCTTATTGAACTCCTTTTTTTGGTTTCGCACCCAGTGTCTCGTACCCAATTTGGGATCTAACTATTTCGGATTTGCATTGGGAATCTAAGCTCGAAACCAAGACATATGGTTAAAGATATATATATATATATATATATATATATATATATATATATATATATATATATATATATATATATATATATATATAACATGCTACTTGTGCATCTATGACCAAATGTATAAGTTAGGACTACTGCAATAGGAAATTCTGGGGAAAAAAGTACCTTATGAAATAGGAGTTGTACAAATAAGTAGTCATAAAGCATGAAGCATGGTTCATCTCAATTTCCAAATTTTAATCAGAGCGAAATATAATCCTCCGTATATCATGATCCATTTTCTAAACTAAACATAAAAATCTGATCCAATACCAATGTATTATCTCAAAACCAAATGTCGCAATGTCATCAATAAAATTATTATGTTTAATGTAGAAAATGGAGTTTCACGATCCACTTTATTTTGTGCTATTTACTAATTCTAAGTAGTAATTTGGTTGAGAAATGTATTTGGTGTTCTCATCTTATTGGTAATGGACTAGTGTTACTAATGTGAGCAATTAGTAATAATATTTACTTAATTTTACTTATAAAAAAAATTTAAATTTTAAAAAAAACATTATAGCGTCGACATTAGTCGCCAGTAAAAGTAAAATTGTCGCAACTGAAAGTACTACTACATCGCTTTGCTATCGTGCGACCAAAATAAATAAGGTTTTTAGTGGCGACTTAAGGCGCCACCAAAAATCAGTAGAATCGTCAGTAAAGGTGGAAGTGCATTTTCTGCCATTTGTGGCAAGTTTAGTTGCCACCAAATGTACATTTTTTTAGCGAATGTCCCGAGTCATCGAAAATAATATTTAGTTGCGAAAGTATGTGATTAGTTATTTTAGAGTCCATTGCTCAAATGGTCACTCAACTATTCCAAATTATATCCTAAAGTTACTTTACATTCATTTGTAACAACAAAGTCACTGAACTAAGTCTATTGCGCTCAGAAGGTCAGTCAACTAGATTTTTCAAATTTTGGATTGCCAAATACCTATTTTACCCTCTAAATTATAAACATTTATCTTCTTTTTATTTTTTAAACTTTTTAATATTATGATTTTCCCTTTTTTATTTATATTATGGACTTACCTATAGAATAAATAAATATTGCTTATAAATTAAAAAAATAAAAAGTATTTAAGCATATATAATTCTGGAATAAAAAAATAATGAGAATAGTAAAAAAATTAATTAGAATAATTTGTTAGTAATAATAAGTTTAGTATTAACAACAAAAATTTAAAAATTTAATTACACAATTCAGAATGATAGAAAATAAAGGTTGTAAAATATATATTACATGCACGTAATATAAAAATAATTATTTAAATAAAGGTATTTTTATAATATACATTATATATTCTTAGAAATTATGCTCAATTATGTTATTATGTTTCTATCAATTTTCCGACGACATAAAGTTATGTCACCGGAAAGCAGGGGGGCTATCTGTATAGGGTAAACTATGCTATCTTAAGTCGTGCATGGAATAAATATAATATAATTGAGCATAATTTTCAAGAATATATAATGAATATTATAAAAATACTTTTATTTAAATAGTTATTTTTATATTACATGCATGAAATATATATTTTACAACCTTTATTTTCTTTTATTCTGAATTGCGTAAATAAATTTTTGAATTTTTGTTGTTAATACTAAAATTATTATTGCGAACAAGTTATTCTAATTAATTATTTTACTATGATCATTATTTTGTTATTCCAGCATTATAGATGCTTAATTACTTTTATTTTTTTAATTTATAAATAATATTTATTTATTCTATAGGTAAGTTCATAATATAAATTAAAAAGGAAAAATCATAATATTAAAAAGTTTTAAAAAAAATAAAAGAAGATAAATATTTATAATTTAGAGGGTAAAATAGGTATTTGGCAATCCAAAATTTGAAAAATCTAGTTGAGTGATCTTCTGAATGCAATAGGTATAGTTCAGTGACGTTGTTGTTACAAACGAAAGAAAAGTGACTTTAAGAGATCATTTGAGATAGTTGAGTGACCATTTGTGTAATTGACTCGTTATTTTATTCAATTGAAGAAGACAGCTTTATTTTTTTTATTAAATCACTTTAAAATAATAAAATATTGTTACGTTATGTAATCAAATAGCAATTCATGTTGATGTTTTAGCTTGAATACGAGGATTAATAAAATTTTATTTAATCAATTCATCTTGAAGCGGTAGGTTATAGGCAGCTAAAACATATAACGTAATAATTTATCTGTACTGAATTTCTATACTCTCTCTATATTAATTTTAAGATTTAATGACAAAAGGTAAAATTCATAGTTGCGGTTCAAATTAAGGCATCAGTATGATAATATAAATGAAAAGACCATCTTAAAATTGATTGTTCTAAATATCGAGAAAATTCTACTGAAAGAGTAGAATTATTCTCTCATGCCATATAGACCTTCATTTTGTCATATCTTTCTAAATGACGTCAAATTCTCTTAATTCCTTTCTTCCTTAATATCAAGTTATCGAAGTGAAGTTTTGCTCTCTCTCTCTCTCTTTTTTACTTCAGTATTTTGATAAGGTAATTGTTGGCAAACAGGAGTTTAAAAATATTTTAATGATTCTTTTTTTCATGTGTAAATATCTTTAGATGAATTTTTAATTGCTTAATTATATTATGGCCATAAAAAATCCTACTAATTTTATTGAAAAATATATTTGGTATTCATCATATTAGTAATGGACTAGTGTTATTTATTTAAGCAATTATTAGTAAATTTTAATTTTAATTAAAAGTAAGTTTTTAATTAAAGTAAGATTTAGCGGCGACTTTGATCGCCACTAAACGTAAAATTATCGCAACTACGACAAATTCAGGTTTTATAAATAAAGTAAGATTTAGCGGCGACAAAAGAACGTAAAATTATCGCAACTACGGCTAAACTAAGGTTTTATAGTGGCGACTCGCGTTATCGCCACTAAAGGTTAAAGTGCATTTTCTAATTTTTTTTTTCTTTTTCTGCTATTTGCTGCAAGTTAGTCGCCATAAATGTTCATTTTTTTAGGGACAACCCCAAGTCATTACAAATAACATTCAGTTACGGAAGTACTTGACTAATTATTTATTTATGGTATAAGAGAGCTTCATTGTTTATTAAATCACTTAAAATCAACAAAACGTTATATTGTATAATCAAACTAGTAACTTATGTCGATATCTTAGCTTGAAGGTACAAATTAATTAACTTTTATTTAATTAATTTATCTGGTAGGTAAAATATGTAAGGTAAATATTTATTCGCACCGAATATTTATACTCTCTGTGCATTTTAAAATTTAATAACAGACGGTAAAATTTATAGTTGTTGTTCAAATTAATCCATCATGTGTGATAAATATAAATGAAAAGACCAAAGACCAAAGACCAAAGACCAAAAATATTACATAGCCTATGGAAAAAGCACTAAAGTTGGACAATTGCTTGTGGTTAATTCTCCAATAATTTTTGAATTAATTTGCCAATAAGTATGATTTTTGTGACATTTGAAACTTTTGGGGAGAGGGGAGCATTTGCGTAACTAGCAAAGTTATTGCGACGTGACCCGGAGGTCACGGGTTCAAATCGTGGAAGCTGTCTCTTGCAGAAATGCAAGAGAAAGCTGCATACAATAAACCATTGTGGTACGATCCTTCTCCGAACTCCACGCATAACGGGAGCTTAGTGCATGGGCAGACCCTCTTCTTCTTCTTTTTTTTGTTTAAAACTTTTGGGGAAGCATTTCTGCAATTGCTGAAGTGACTTTTATATTTGACTTGTTAGTTTCACTATAATTAATCAAAATTTATTCACAAATCATGTGCATATGTGGGTTCAGTGGCGGATCTAGGATTTTAAGGTTATGGGTGCTCACTTCCTTTAATATAAAGGTGTTATCAATCGCATAGTATAAGTGCACAATTATTCGAATGCAAGAGTAAAAAAGACTTAATATGAAAACTACTAATAATATTTTCATTACCAACAAATACTTTTAGTCACAAGTCATAATGAACTACTAATAGTATTATCATTACCAAAAGGGCTTCTAGTCACAATTCACAACTGTGATCGACGACTTTTCATATGTTGAAAACGATGAATAATGGCATCGTTGCTCACAGTTGGTAACAAAGATAATATTTTTTATTGAATCTGCTTTCAAAGAATAAGCGATAAGCATGAAAAAAATTCAAAATCCTTCTAAGAATATTTTTAATTTCTTACTTTAATAAAAATACCAAATCTTATTACCTTGTGCTATGTTCTGATAATCTGATTTTGAGATTGTTGTGAATGACCGGAGAGTTTGCTGATTGTTTCGTCTACTTTGTTCTTCGTTTTTCCCTTCTCTACGTTCCTAATGAGCAAAAATTCAAGAAGGGTTTAGTTTTAAACTTTTCTGTAAGACTGTAAAGATGGCCTTTCTTATACTTAAATCTAATTAATTATTAATATAATAAAGCCTAAAGGTGAAAGGAAGTAGGAAAAGGAAAAACTAAAAACTAAAAAAGGAAAATTTAGTTCAAAAGCATTAAACTAAAACGTAGTCTGGCAACCTAAACTAAAACCTAAAGGGAATAGGAAAAGTTTTAAAACTTTTCCATAAAAGACAAAAAGCTGACATTCAAAAATATAAAGGCAGTACTATGACAAGAATCGAACCTGGTCTTTGGTTTCAAGAAAGGTTTTAACTCCCACTTCAGAACCACAATACCCGTCAGTCATTTTAATTATTGGGTGCTCACTAAAATGTTATATCCTATTTCTTATATTTTTATTATAGCTATACCTAGTTTACGTCAAGGTTAATGGGTGCTTGAGCACCTAAAACTAGCATGTAAATCCGCCCCTGTGTGGGCTACATGCTAAAGGTGTCAATTTTTTTTGTGTGCAGAGAGGTAAATGGTAGTTGCTGCAGAGATATAGGGACGAGCATCTGGATCTTGGATTGGGCTCATATTCTTCATGGAATGACATAGTGTTGGAGAAACCGTATTGACCACAATAACAGAAGGTAAACATATTTATTGCAGTTGCCAATCCATTCCATCTTTAAGGTATTCCTTTCTGTTGAAAACAAATACCATCAAGTGCCCTCACCCAAGAAACCGAACCAAATACTAGAATAATAGAGGATAAAACTCCTCCTGTAAAAACATTACCTAATAATTCTATGTTTTTTAGCCACGTTGTTGGCAATATTATGAGTGCAACTAAAAAGACAACGGTTTAGACAAGAGGGGTTGCTCTGATGGTAAGCAACCTCCACTTCCAACCAACAGGTTGTGAGTTCGAGTCTCCCCAAGAGCAAGGTGGGAAGTTCTTGGAGGGAAGTATGTCGGGTTTCTATTTGGAAACAGCCTCTCTACCTCAGGGTAGGGGTAAGGTTTGCGTACACACTACCCTCCCCAAACCCCACTAAGTGGGATTATACTGGGTTGTTGTTGTTGTTTGTTGTTTTCTGTGTCTACTATTTTCCGGCCACCAATATGAAAATCTGCATTTGCGAATAACTTTTGCAAATTGTCGCCTTCTAATATTAGGAACTCAATTGCAACTAAGTATAGTTCAAGATAACTGAAAATTGATAGTATTGTTCTTTCTTTATTCCCGCAAGCTAATTCATGAGTGTCAGGAATTTGCTTTTAGGAACAAAGGGAGAGTCGTAATATCAATTTTCATGTATGTTGAGCTATACTTGGTTGCAGTTTAGGTCCGAATATTAGAAGGTGACAATTTTTTTGTCGGGTTTTCGGGTTTTTTTGTTACATGAATATTATTTTAATCGTACTTTGTTAAAATTATAGATAAAGCTTTGATAAGTGAATATATGTTTAGTGAATATGAAAAAAATTGACAAACATATGATCTATTAAAATATTCTAATGGGAGAATTTTTTTAGTAACATATGATAGTTATTTTCTTAGTCATCTAACAATAATTTTTTGTTAATTTACGCTTTCAAGGTTAATACATGAGAGGATCCCAAATATTTTTACATTTTCTAAAGAAAAATCACTATAAAGTCTTAAAAATATAAATAAAATTTATATATTTATATGTCGGTTTGGTTCGGATATTTTTACTCAATACCAAACCAAGTCAAACCAAACCTAATCGGGTTTTTCGATTTGGTGCGATTTTCCGGTTCGGTTTGGTTTTTCGGTTTGGTGCGGTTTTCCGGTTCGGTTTGAACACCCCTAGTATTGGTTTTCAATAGAAAGGAACACTTAGGAGATGGATGGATTGATAACTACATTAAATATGTTCACGTTTTGTTATTGTGGTCATGCGGTCCCAAAACTATGCAATTCCATGAACAATATTAGCCCTTCTACATATATGCTTCAAATGGAAGAAGATCGAATTCAAGAATTTATCATCATGGATAATTAGTTAATACGTACCTCCTTCTATACCAAATTTTAGCCTTCCATATTTCTGTTATCTTAGATAGTAGACGATAATTAAGATAATTTGACAAATAATATTCGGAAGGGGAGCCTTGATGTAAGTGATAAAGTTGCTATCATGTGACCAGGAGGTCACGGGTTCGAGCCGTCCGGTCCTTCAAATACATACATTAGCCACACTGCTTCTGTATACTTCTCTTATCATAGGGCATTTTTCTATTGTCTTTTCTTTATACATTCTTATGGACAGTAATTTCATGATTGTTTGGCATGACAATTTACTATGTTTCTTGAAATTGTAACTTCAAAAGTTAAATGCCTTAAAACATGACAGAAGACATAGCACCAGATTGATGAGAGATAATAAGAAACTTGTATTTAGCAGTTTACTATATTGCCAATATATTAGATTTTATCCAATGATTTCAACATTTTAATATAAAATTGTTAAGTATAGTGACAGAAGACATAGCACCAGATTTCAACAGAACACTTTATATTTGGATTTGGCCATTCATATTTGTGAACATTAAAGTCCAATTAGTTATTCAATAATCATCATGATTTCTAATTATTTATAAAGAATAAATTTTTTTTGGTTGAAGAATGAAGATGTTTCCATTTAATTTGAATACTGGGGGAGATACAGATTTTAACTATAAGAATGATATCGAAGTAGACACTTTTGTATCTCTTTGACGGAAAACTTGAAGAATATTACACAAAAGTCAAAAGAGATGAGGATATTAGAGGAGTGTTAAAAAACGTACTCGCATCAGATGTTTATATTAAATCATACTAATTTACTGTGTTTAAGTTTAGGGGTGGATCCATCCCTTTAAGATTGGGTGACATGGCACTTGCTAAGATGATAAAATTATCATATATAGATGTTGAATTTTCTTAAATTAGGTTAAATATTTAATTCTGCCATCCGTAGTCGTAAACTAGATAAAGGCATCATAGGTGATAAACCTTTTTGAAAGCTTTTCACGTGTGTAAAATTCAAGTTGGAATTTGTCTTGAACAACCTTTTCCGATTTTTCTTTTTCTTTGTGCTTTTTATTTCCTTTTATCCTAGTCATTTCCTTTTCGGCTACCTCCGAATTTTTTATTTGTCGTTT